GAAGTTGGGCCCGCCAGACGGCGGCCAACTTCAAGACCCTCAAAGGGCTATAAAAACATCTACCTCCAACCCCGTAGACTAGGCGCCACATTTCCATCATTTCACTAATTTCCGACACAATGACTAAAAAGCAAAAGACCTCCACAAAGTTGGGTCAGATAGTAGATCTTCTCAATGAGATACAGCCTCAGCTGCAACTACTAATAGATCTACATCCTTTTTTACAGCCACTACTACAAGTTATGAATGAGCACCAATGCGAGGCAAAGAAAAGAGAAATTGCCTCTATACAGTATAAGCTCAGTAATAATGAGCTCTTGAAGATCAATAAGGTCCTAAACCAAAAACTCGAGGAACTTCAGACTGAATTAGAATTACAGACCAAATACTACAAGGAGGACCCCATCGAGGGGCTTGGGCGCCGTGGGAGGCCCGTGCAAGCGCAATCGTCTAGTCAGAAAAGAGCACAGAGATCTAAAGAGCCTAGGCGTAGCCTTAGGCTCCAGCGCCTTTGATTGTTTCCTTTCCTCTTTAGAGTTAGAAAGGGAATGACTACTCACAACGAAATTTCTTACTGAGTTATGAGTGCGTTAATACCTAGAGGTATTAGCTCCTAATCAGAAGTAGAACTGTTAAGAAGATCTAGATTTTATGTTAAGTATTATCTAAACAATTAATTCTTCATTAAATATAACTGAAAAGTTATCTAAAAATCTCTCATCTTGCTAGGACAATTGTAACATGGGAATAATTATTAGAACAATTTATAGCGCAGTTGTTGTATGAGTTCGAATGACAAAGAAGGAAATCATTGACCATTTCGACTATGATATCAAATTATATCCCCAACCCGAAGTAGGTTAGATGGCTTCATAAGGTTGTCTAGAATTTCACCAATAGATAGTTGATCTCTCTAAGGTTAATATGAGAATAAAAGCTTTTGTCCCAAAGAATTGTTTTATATTCACCTTGAGTAAGTTGCGCCGTATTGTTGAGGTGCTGGCCTAAAGTTCCAGGTCATGGACAGGATCTTTTCGAGTGATCTTGTAGTTGCGACTCACCTCTCTTCGTATCCTACGATATCACAAGGCGAGAGAACCTCTTGCCGCTCTTTGCGAGGCTTAGTCTCCAAAGTTGCGGTCTTTTCAAGGTTCAAGAAGGCGTGCGACGGTGGCTTGCGAAATGCCGAAACGATGGCCCACTACGCGCTGACTTGCACCGCCCTGAACAGCTGCAATAATAGTCGTACGGAGTTAGTGAAGGTATTTGCCTTGTTTGACGACTGGCGGGTAACATGGTGCCAAGGACCCTTTTTGTCTCCTCCACTGTGAAGAATCGTGTGTGGTTGAAGTAAAAGGTGTATGGAAGAGGTTTAATGCGATCACACGGAAGTTCGTGTGTTGTATCATCTCTTTTGGAGTGTATACCAGCAAGCCTTCTACCGACTACCGGTAGTAAGGATAGCTTTCGAATTTTGAATAAGGGAGGTAGGAGGGAGCGGCTTGACTTATCAAGAGAGAGCCAAGAGAGGGTGTGATTGGATATTAACACAACATACAACCACAAGTGATCAAATACACATATATTATTGACATAAATAAGCAATCGTAATTAGCTGTGTCCTTGTACGCGTTTGTTTGAGCCTAGAGGTACTTATATATTATAGAAGAGAAAAATCCTCTAAGACTCAATTAAGTAATCAGAATAATGCTATAAAAACTGGGCACTAAAGTGCTATTGTCCAGTGCTTGCAAAATCTATATCTGACTAGTAATAGCCCGTATAGCTGAATGAGCACATCGCATATCTGCCTACCATCTAATGGATTTTGTCTTGGGATATATTTGCATCGCGTTCTGAATGAACCCGGGCTGTAAGGTTTTACGGGCCACCCTGGGGAAGGGATCCTTCCGGCCACGTAAAGGGATCTCAGAACTTCAGATAGATAATAGGGAGCTTCAAGCTTTGGCAATTATAATAACGAAAAGACACCCTCTACCTCCTAATTAACTGATTACCCCCGATATCAGTGAGACTCAGGTGGGTAGCTATAATACCGGTAAAGTCGCTCTCTTCGGCGAGCCGTAGCTCGATCCTGCCCTGATAGTCCTCAATACTAAAAGTAGTTGCAAATCCTTCAACAGAACTACTATTGAAACGGTGAGAGAGGAAGCTGTACACACACACAACACCCACAACCACACAACACAAGGGTTTGTGGCACACAGCGGTCATCGCGTTAGTTGACAGCTTCATCGCCCGCAGTATGATTCATCATACGAAGACCTTACTCGTCTCGAGCAATTGAACGGATTGAGAAGACAAGAATCTCTCACGAAGGAAGCATTCGAAACGCTCGTCGTAGCGCCTCTTGAGGCCACAGCCGGCCTCAATTGAACAGAGGTTTCGCGAAGCTTCACAATTGAACAGTAAAGTCGCTCATTAAGGTTCTGACTGAATGAAAGGAAAAGCATGAATTTCTCTCTGGGCTGCGAAAAATCAGCTCCTTTTAACCAGGCCGCTGAGCGGCATGACTTGCGAGACCCGGGCCTTTTACGCCACTGGGCCATTTTCTAGGCCATGCAGGAGTGGACCTGAACTCGGGCTATAAAAAAATTGAAAAATTCATGTATTTAACCGCGACTGTCAGTTTCACAACACATTTATTGTACATACATACATAGCACCATGAGTAACCGCCGGGTTGCAATATTCCCAGTTAGCCATAATATAGGCGCACCTTCAGCCTTAGGCAAAGATCTATCTCAAGAACTCTTAACAAAAACATCGACGACTACTACTCTACAAAAACCCCACCAACTACTTCCAATACCATCTCCATATCCGCTGGTATTACCAGAGGTGGACAAACATGGCACTAGACTTGGAAATAGCAGCCAGGGGATGAACGAGCCTGATGTTGGCTCATTTGCCTATACAGTTCCTCCCAAAAATCCGGAGCGGATGGCTTATAGATTGTTATATAGGCTACAATTTGGAAATGGAAATTTCGTTACGGTAGCCGAACCGCGCATATTGTCCAAGTCCGCGGAGTTGCCCGAAGGGCTCATAAAGTCTAAAGAACACATATTGTGCGAAATGAATGCTTTTCATGAAAGAGAAATAGAGTTAGTGATGATCAAGGAACTTCAGGACTCGATTTGGGTCAAACAAGCGACGTATCTTCGAGAAAATACAGGTGAGTCTGTCGTCAAATGTCTGGATATATTTCAGCACGAGGGAAAGCACTACGCCGTCTATGAGTACATCACTCTGTCCCTTTTTGAGCTTCAGGCAAACCCGCTCTTCGATGACTTATCTCTAGCGTCAGTAATGGGGCAAATCCTCCCTAGTCTGGCTAAGCTAGAAGCAAAAGGTCTTGAGCACGGCCAGCTCACAACTTCTAATATACTTATCGACTTACATGGGACTGTGAAGTTATGTAGGTATTCTATTGCAGAGCCACGTAGGAATCATCGTACTAAGGATTGCTACAGGGGGTTATGAACATCTACAGGATCGATCTAGGCACTCTCGGAACATTTCCGATTTGGAAGCTATTGTGAGCAGGTTGATGCAGGGATATATAAACAATGAGGGAGGCACGCCTCAAATAGACGACAAGGGTCGGTGGCCCGCAAAATCTCATGCCATTCGTTTTTTCAATGCGATGCAAGATGTAAAAACGATAAGCCATCTCAAAGATGTAAGGATCTACTGTCAATGATGAGGATCTAGGCTAATCTGGTACAGGACCCACTGTTAAAGCTGCCATGGCGCAAATCTCACTTGCAAAAGATTGCAAACTTAACAAATATCTGGTCATTCCGTGTCCATGAAGAATGAAAGTATCTTGAGTGCATCTTGTACTGTATTATAGATAGATTTGTTACTCAATGAGAACACTTATTATTAACTAGCCAGCGTAATATTCCCCATTGCAGTAATACTGGTGATAAGCTAGATAGGTAGGGCATAGTTAAGAGCGGTCGATATTCTACTTCCTATTCTAACCTACTGATACTAATCCCTGCTTAATTCAAATTCAAATACTAACGTTCCTGGCCCTCTCTTTACAGTTTGCAACGAAACTTACTCAAAGGTCTTAGCTAGGCAAGAGGTCAGCGGCACCCACGTGGAGTGTTGGGATGTTATAAAAGATGCCATTTGCCTTTGCTGCTTGTTACCCTCAGTGGATCAGGTATTAGATTCTACTAACCCACCACCGTTTGAGACCCGTTCATAGTTAACTTATGCTGCGAAAGAGGAACCTAGTTTTGCCCACCACTTTCAATGTACATCGACCTCACTTACATAGATAATCTTGGATGTTACTGTACGTACTAAACAGTTGGCAGTGTACGGTTTTAGCTATTACGATGTACTGTGCTCTCAATCCACTACCAATTTTTGTGGCTAGGTTTTAGATCCGTTATCAAGACTGGGGCTCGTTACGAGGGGATAAAGCCACATCGCTGTTTACTACTAGAAGCGTAGGGCATACAGCGGGAGCCACATTTATGGGTCAAATGTTGTGACAAGGCACCCCGTAGCCCCGTGTCTAGTTACTTACAGAGCACGTAGACGATAATATATCCGGGGCGATATATGTATGTACCCTTCAGATTCTCATTAACATTTACCAACCCTAACATCACTAGCCAGAGCCAAGCGTACGCCAGCCCGCTAGATTCTGACAGTTCCAGTAGCAAAAAGCGATTGGGCCCCTTCATCCCTGCACTCACCCCGGATAAGGAAGGATGATTCGAATTTCAGTATCGGAATGAGCCCCAGCATTTTCCCCACGAGTTAAGTGAGCCTGGTATTACCGCGTGCTTAGGTATACATCTATTATCCTCCTTTACATTTGGGAATTACCGCGGCCATCGGGATTTCACTGTGGCCAGATTTGTATAAAGATATCGTTGGCACCAGCCCGCAGATTCTTTCTTCTACAGCCATATCACACCTCATATATAAAAATCTATCAATTGCATACCATGACGCTCCCCAACAACGAGGATACACCTTACCCAGAGGCAAAGTCCCAACAGACAGCTCTTATGGACCTCTTTCTTCCCGACTTCAATATTGTTTCCAGCACCGCAAGCCAGACCCGTGGTGGCAACCTTATAGGCTACACTCGGATTATATGCATCTTTGCGCTAGCTGCTCTATTGAAGCCGTATATATTTCAGTTAAGTGATTGGTTCTTAACATTCTTTCGTATGTTTCCCTCTGTCGCTTGGAAGTGCTCGGTCTGACCTTTTGAAGAGTGGACAATTCACACGAGGCGCTACGAGGAAACGTACAACATGATTCGAGGTTGGATCATATCACGTGAATTAGATCACGCTGCTCAGTCTGCTCTTGTCACGGTCGGAGCTAGTCCAATCTGCGTCGATTATTCATACAACAAGAAACCGCTTGAGTGTATTCCTTGGGGGAGAGATATCTACTTCTATTATGGGAACAACTTGCTTCCTTATCGAACCAAACAGGTGGATCTTGATTTCCATAACGAGCAGCAAGTCTCCATCACTTGCATTAGCCTATTTTCCAGTATCTTGAGAAGATTCATGTCGGAGTGCCGACGTGAAGACCTCGATACATCCAACAACAAGATAATAATCCATAGACACCTGGATAATAGCTGGGTGGTTAACGCAGCAGTCAATATTTGGCCCCTCTCGACAATTGTTCTACACCCATCTCTCAAGAAGGCTTTTATAAAGAATCTAACGAATATTCTTGACCCTGAAACCAAACACTGGTACTCCGATCACAGAACGCCATGCAAACGAGGATATTTACTCCATGGACCTTCAGGAACAGGACAAACTAGCCTCATCTTCTCAATTGCTAGTGAAATTGATATAAACATACATACCTTCATGGTCCCCAATATCGACGATCAAAAACAGAGAGACCTATTTGTTGGTCTTCCAAAAAAATGTCTCACGCCGTCAGAGGAAATCGACAGACCTAGACCGATGGGTCCCCGAGATTCTAATCCGAATGAATCAGATAGTGAAAGGGACACTGAATTGCACCAACGAGGGGCAACTGTCTCAGGTGTCTTGAGCACACTCGATGCTATTTCTTCCAGGGTCAATTGGATACTTATCGTGACGGCTAATCACCCTCTTATACTAAACGAAGATCTCATTAGGCTTAGTAGAGTCGACATGAAGGTCGAATCGAAGCTCTCTAATCGGTTCATTTCCAAAGCAATATACATCTACACGTTTAGGGAACAAGAAGCAACTCCTACGTATATGGAAAACCAAGCCACCGCATTTGCAGCAAAGGTGCCAGAAGGTAAATCAGTCCAATAGAGATCATGAACTATCTTCAGCGCTACAGAGGGGCCCATTCTGGTGCTGTGAGGGACTACAGGGCGGATGATCTCCTTGGAGAAAGGAGTTTGATTGATGTAGGTATAGAATTATCATATGCGGTTAGGCTTCAGCGGCCTCTAACTCGACTACCGGCTGGCGCTTGATTATTCAGTTTTTTTAGGACAATGTCCTTAATCTCGTCTCCCTCTCATCTACCAGCTCCAGAATAGCTGGTTTCGCCTTAATATAGGGTCTGATACATCTGATTCTGGGGCTACACTCTGTACTACTGTATTCGCATACTTGAAGTGATATGTATGTATGTATGTACATATCATCAAAGAAGATCAAAACTATGTTTTTTGATTTGGCATATAGAAGAGTTCACCCATATTGATCTCAAACTCCTGACTAATATAGCCGATGTCTTGTTCGGGATATGCTATCTCGTGCCGTAAATGATTACCTGGGATAAGTTCGGTAGTAGACAGAAACAGGCAAGAAGGTGAATAAGACGTTGAGGAATTGCTGTCCCCTCCCTTGGTGAGCTGCTTCCTTGAATACTATCCTCGATCCGCCTACGAGTCTCTCCATGAGATCACTTACGAGAATTCGAAGATCGTCCTGAGTCCTACTCTGCGCTTGTGGCTGTCTACTGAGAGACTCGGGGAACCTATCATTTCATTCTTCCACAAGGTCTGCATCAACCGCATAATCTCCACAATCAATGTGCCAAGATATGGCCTAAGACTGTTTCTATCAGGGCTTTACTGACCTTACAAAACAATGTTATACACATCGCGCTATCGCTCATCGCAAAATCTAATCCTTAGGGCGCGATGCCTATATTTTTTCTAAGCCTATATGGATAGGATGCCTTTGCTTAATAAAAAGACAGGCTGGTCGTTTTTTTTTCGCATTTATCCACGTTTAGATGCTCCTCCTTTTTTTTTGGCTGGCAAAATTCTAGAGGCACTTAGGGCAGGAGTTGCCAGGGCTGTCGTGCCGTCGTTTTATGTGATGTTTGATGTCGCTTTCGCATGAGCTTGAGTCTTAGGCAGTCCACATTTCCTAGAAGGTGGTATCGGAAGAAAGTCCGAGAGGGCATGGGCCTTTCCTTAGTAGTTGGGATACATGAAAAAGGCTAAAAGGTAGGCTAGCTGCCCACAAAAGTTGACGGAACAGCTCTTGCCCTGTATTCTATTATTTTCTAGAAACCGTGATCTTGACCTAGTTATTCTACGACGATTGCGGCTCGTACGAAGGCCCAGTTGATCTCATTCAATTGATCTAATGTGGGAGTACTCAACTAAACAGCAAACACACACGATTTACGATGTGATTGTTAGTCTTGACCACGCAGCCCGGCTATATCTCTTCTTTTGACCAAAGCCGACGTCGCGATCGTTATCGATCGTAGATACGATTGGCTGTGGTGGTTGGTCGGAAGCCCCCACCGGCACTCATTAAGTCGGCATTTATTGCCTTTGATAGGGTTTATTTTACGAGAAGTGAGTTGCGATCGTGTTAAGCTCCTGGGATGACTCTTAGTTTTTTTAGTATTTCTTTTCTGCAGTGTTCTGTGACTGTTCTAGGTGGCCAATAAGTTGTATGTAGGCAAAAAACAAATCCTGGCCAATCGAGCTCATGACTTAATCAAGACGGAGGGCAGTGTAAAGCTCGATAAGCTCTCAGTACCCTACCCGAATGAAGCGTTCCCCAGGGCCTTTCTTTGAATGAATTGAATCATTGCTACACCAGCCGCCCGATGCCTACGCTCGATTAAAAGAGCCCAGAATGGGTCTATGCGACAAGGTAGGATCAGCTGGAAATTACGAAGCAAACTAACACGCTCGGTGCTACATGTCCTTTACGGGTTCATTATGCGGCCTACTCGCCGGTACCTTCTCCACCACCGCCACGGTACAAGCCACTAGATTCATAGAAGCCCCCATACGAGCCGAGGCGAGCCCTGTTAACGCTAATCCCCAGCCACCTGCACGCTCTCCACGTTAACTGAGTGGGAATGCCCATCAGATGGCGCTATGCCCGCCAGGTTGCAATACCGGCATCAATGTTTTCTCTCGACGCTATTTGTAGCCGCCGAATGGCTGGAGTACTTTAGTCATGCGCCTATAATATTCGACCGGTTTCGTTGACAGAAGTCCAGTCTATGAAGTGTCTCGTGGCCTTGCGCTCCTAATGCCGCGAGGTGATGTCTCAACTACTCAAAATGTTGCTCAGTTGGAACTTTACGCATCAAGGTAAGTAAATCGCAAAAGTTTATTTATTTGTACTAAAAAAAACCCTAACGGTAACATATCAGACAGAGTACAACATCAGAGTATATTTTAGGAAAAGTGTCTCCTTCGCAAGCCTGTGCTGATATTCTACCGCCTGGGTCACCATTACGTTATCCAAGTTGTCGTGAAATTGAGTACCAAGTCACAAAAGCTGGTTCTGTATAGGGCGGAGTTACTTTTCGGTAAGATCAAGTTGGCATTGCAGAGTCGATTCCCCGTTCCAACCTCATCTTTGTATTCTTCGACTGTCTTTTTGGATGCCTCGCGCGAATCCATCGTTCCCGGCGCGGTACCACCCGGAGTTAGTATCAGACGAGAACTTCGCGGGAATACTATCGTTTCAGTCCCTGGACTGAAGGCGGTGTGGCTACGCTTTCATAGAATCCCTTCCATACTATCCGCTTTCTAGAATCTTTATCGGGCGATTATTCTGATCTGCCATGCCTGGCCACTGTCCCGGTAAACGTTTTCATTTGCCGCTCAATTGATCATCATATGTAACCATATACTCCTTTTTGAGATGAATGGTGCCAGGCTGTGTTGGTAGCTGCATACCCTGTGCTATGATAATACTAGTCGTACCAAATCCAGTATTTCGCACAGTTGCCTCCCCTGGTGTGTCTACGGGGGAAGAACGAGGTCGTATATGCGAAAATGCACACATAATCAAAGTCCGCAGTGAAGGCAGACAGGCACAGATAATCCCAACGTTAATCTCAACAGTGGACCAGACGGCAACTTCCACTTTTTCCCATGTAGCATTGGGGGCTTCCCAACCATGCACGATCAAATTCTCGAGGCGCACGGCACTGATGATTGTAACACTAGAGGACACGTTAATAAATTAATCGGTCTGCGAGAGGGAGGCATAGGTGATTACAATAAGCCAAGGCAAAACATGGCACCAACGCTTATTTTTTTTTTCCGGCTCAAGTGAAGTGCCCTGATTTGGGAGAGAGGGATGCCAATCATGAAAAAGTCTAGCCCAATACTAAGGGCTGCGTTCACCCATGCAATAATACTTGCATTTATACAGGTTCCTTCATGCTCGCCATCCCAACGATTCCAGTAGTGGGAAATAGGACGGCACTGGAAGATGGAGAGCATTGAGAAGACGACCCCGAACATGAGGACAAATATGACAGTGCACCACAGCACGCGACGAACCTTGAGTGCAGGAAAGATCCGAAGATAAAAGAAGAGGAATGCCAGCTTACATACAGCAGCATTGAGAAAGTAGATCGTTGAGTAAATGTAAAGATAATAACCAAAGTTCCTGATCTCTTCGGGAGTGAGCGTCCAAATATCACGACCAAGGCCGCCTTTTCTGCCGCCCTCACAGGCAATAGCGGCTGCAGGGGCTTGTATCAAGGTGGCTAGGAGGGTCACCCAGTCATCAATCCCCAGACCAAGGCCGTAGGTTGTTATCTTAATGGCGAACCGTTGAAGGACGAAGCAGCCCGATAGGACGGAAAAAATGATGGCTATGGTGATCAATGTATTGGATTTATCTCTCACCGGATGACCGCACAGCGTCTCCGTCGCGTTTTTGGTGGCTATGAGGGTCAGTGGCGGGAGAGAGAAGTAGGCCCGTTAGCCAAAAAGCTCACCAAGTGCCTCTATGACGGAACATTGAAGCTGAACGCAATCGGTCGCTGCGTCTTGGAACGCTTGGCTGTTACATTGACATTCGATATCTAGAGGTTGACAATCGGATGTCGAGACCGACTCGAGAATGCAGGCCTTCTGCGAAAGGTGTTAGCAATGCAATGGTAGGCTTCACGATGAAGTGGATTCACTCAATCACAGCGCATGTAGGTATATTAGCCACTGATTGTAATTCGCTTGTAGCTTCGGTACCAAACAAGACCAAGACCAGAAATAACGATCTCCAATAAATAGTGACCAGCATTATGACAAAGTACAGAGCTTTGTTCATTAAGAGCCATCAAATGCTTCGTCAACGTTCTTATACTTCTTGCCTGGTCCCAAGAGAACAACCAAAATCAGGCCCATCCCTGAAACTAGGACATTTAGGTGCTGTAGCAGCTAGCTTTCCAATCTCCTCCTTATAAACGGCCTACCCTATATACATCTACGCATCTCGATTTAGCTATCTACGTCTCACCCTAGTGGAAAGAAAAAGAGGAACGTCAATACCCTCCTCTATCGTCGGGTCAAAATGGGTCTTGAACGCTCGGCAGTCAGATTCCAACTTTGTTGATCACGGTCCGCCAATATAATGTGGAAAGGGGGCCATATAGTTTCAATTGTCTTTGAAGCATACGACTCTCAACCTACCTTCGGGGAGGGGAGGGGGGCGTATTCTTATAGTTGGATATATTCTTCAGAAGTATCCTATATTAAGTGATATTGAGTGCCGGTGGAAATTCCCAACCAACAACACCACAACCAAAAGACCGGGTGGGTCCGCGATCGTGATGTCGGCGTTAGTCAACGGGAAGAATTGCGACCAAGCTGCGTAGTCAAGACCAACAATCACAATCAATTGCACATGTGTTTGGTGTTTGGTTGGGGACTCCCGCCCTTGATCAATTGAATGAGACCGTCCAGGTCATCATACGAGCCAGACTGGCTGTACAAATAACGAGTCAAAGATCACGATTTCAACAATAGAGGATAATTCAAGAGTAAAAGACGACCTTCATTTTTGGAATGGGCAATGAGCTGGGCTTAGGTAGCAAGCAGCAAACCGCCCTAATAAACTAAGGTATATTACGCATGCTCTCAATATATCAGTTTACCTACGATTAAATAGCTCAATTCGGTGGATAAAGGATATATTCCCAATATCGATCTAGAGGGATAGAGCTATATCAGTTGTTCAGTCTCCAGAGAACGAACTAGACAATTATTCCGGTACTATTGCAACAAAGGCCATCTGTGGAGTATCTTTCAGGCGAGGCCAGGGGGTTGCCGTATAACTCGTCGAGGGCAAAAATAGACCCTCGAAGGGATTTTGGTTCTGGCCTTATCCCGCATCTTTTCATCTACGCTAGCTATATACAGTGTATATTAACAAAGGATACTGCTTTGTATATGTATTATACGCTGGCCTTGAGTAAAAGGGCATATTATTAGCTTGTACTAGAGATAATCCAGAATGACCCTGAAGCTGCAGTCTAGAAATATAAATCATATAGCTATCAGTTTATAAAAGCTGAGACTAAATCTGATATTCCCTCATAACAAGATAAAGATGCATGCTATATCAATTTTAGCGGACGCAGCACAGCTCGCGTACAAAGATCAAAAGGTTTCGATAGTACCACAAAGGAGAGGATATCAAACAGCTACCTCTTATTGAAAGAGCCCTTGCGCTAGAACTAGTCTATATCTATGGCTATTGTACATACAGATTGCATGTGCAGTAAATTTGATGAGGGATCACATAACGAATTCTCTGAATAACGTGAGATACCTACCTACCTACCTGCTTATATAAGACGTGTAGAGAAAAAGGGTTCATTTGCAGATCAAATACCATGTCCCAAATCTTGGTCAGCGAACATATTACTGTCTAATAGCTTGATCCAATTTTCAGGAGTATGGCTGTTTCCTCATATATTGTTGGGGTTGGCTTTCTCAGTATGTATTTTGAGTTCGGCCATACTACTGCCAACATGGGCTCTATCTTAGCACAGCCGGCAAGTTCCAGCTGCGCTTATTACTATTACAAACATCGATATCTTCCCCTTATCTATATTTTAACCCTCTATCTTTTCTCTATAGTTATATTCTACTTCTATATTATATATACCGGACAGTTCAGGTCCATTGATACCTCTGCATCTATATATAAGCGGTCCTGGGGTGGGTTTGATGAACGACCAACAAGCGAACAATGTTACCGCCAAGAACGCACTGCTATAATTCTCGCTTTCGTTCTTGGGTGCCTCGGAGCTGACCAATTCTATGCACATCACTGGGTGCTTGCTGTATTTAAGTTGTTAACAGCGGGCGGGTTTGGCATCTGGGCTTTTGTTGACTGTAAGAAATTTTATTATCACTCGGAATGATTCTTGCTTATAAATTCAAGGTGTTCTATGGACTGTAGGAGGCGTCTATGGTACTCCGGGGTGCCCGGGAGGTTTTGGATCTGAAGGTGATTGGCGATATTAGAGTAAAAAAAGAACTAGGATTTATAGTGTGATATTAATTCTGGTGAATTCGTTATGGCTGAACGATTGTTAGTGGTTTCACTGGGCGGTGCTATAAGTAGTACAGTTATATACTCTCTTCAAAGCCGACCATTCTAGCGCATTACTCGCAGTAGTAAAGATTTTAACCGATTCTAAGCATACCCAAAGACCTAACATCATCTGTGGAGGTGGCCTCGACAGATCGCGCGCTGCGCATGCAACGAAGAACCTTGACGATGGCACCGGGATGCTGAGGAATAGTTATTTCTAAGTAATGTGCTGTGATATTATTTTCAATTCCGAAGATTAAAAAAGATTTACTGTTATATTTCAACCTTAATTTTCACCCATGCGATTTTTTCTTACAGGTCTGGTTTTAGGACTAGATTAGACGGGGTTGTCCCGGTCTCTAAATGAAGGTGATCCTGGTTTTGGGACTAGATAAAGGCGATCGCAGTTTCAGGATCAAACGAGGCTGTCCTAAAAATGGGACCAGTTATGGGATCCCTATTTTGGGACCAGGTAGGCGGCAGCTTGTAATCACAATACGCAATGCAGAGCATTTCACACAAGACCCCTTCCAGACCTAAATTCGAGCACAAAATTGCCGCTTGCCTGACTATGTTACATATTTCCTCAATATCTAGTAACTATGGATGCTGTACAGGGTTGACCGAAAAGAGTATCCGCTTTTTTATTTAGCAACACTTTGAACAATAGCTGTTTTTAGATGAGGTGTGGCCAAGCATGTTCTGTATTGTGGATAGAAATACATATAACACGGTAAGAGTAATGTTACTCTTATGGCTCCTCAATGAGTCATATACACTTATTTGTTCTTTACTGTTTACATATTACGGCCACGAACCTGGCCCATTTAGGTCCCACAATCTGGTTCTATACGCTAGTCTCCAGAGCGGCGCTTGATGATATTGCATTAGAGTCGTTGCTTCAAATAGTTGTCTCTCTGTTACCTTAATTATGTACCCTGGATTTTTTTTCTAACTACTTAACGTAGTTCAATCTCCTCTTTATAAACGCAAAATTCCAGACAAGATTTCAGACACAATAGCTAGCAGAAGGGCCTTATCCGTTTGAGTCATTTGACTGTGCTGAAAGGACACTTTCTTACCTACTGTGTATATAAGAATGGCGTCCGCTCCCCGTCTCTGTCTCCTGCCTAATGAGTCAGAGGCGCGCAAAGCGCGGGGAATGGAAGACGACGCAGCCGGGTCCGGGTCCGGCAAGGCAGAACGCCCGACTCTTCTCTCGTTCAAAGAGATGCCGGAATGGTTTCAACAAGACAACAACCAGTGGATCCTTCACGGTTACCGGCCTATATCGGGCTCGGTTCGCGCCTCGTTCCGCAGTTGGTGGTATCTCCACAACGAGACGGTTAACATCTATTCCCATCTTATTCCGGCTGTTCTCTTCCTCCTCGGTGAGTGGTATATCATGCAGCACCTTTCTCGCAAATATGCCAGAGTCACTAGCACCGATCTTGTTGCATTCTCATTCTTCATTCTTCCGGCGACTATTTGCTATGCATTTTCGGCTCTTTATCATACTTCAATGAACTACTCTTACACCGTAAACCATTTCTGCCACCGACTAGATATGCTTGGAATAGGAGTATTTATAGTCGGTGATATTGTCTTGGGAGTATATATAATCTTTTGGTGTGAGACTACATTGCGCAATATTTATTGGTCTATGGTTAGTTGATCTCTGTATTTTCGGCATTTTTTGTCCTAGGACTAGTAATCGGATCTAACACCGTCTTAATCGGTCAATAGATTGGGGTTATCGGGGCATCGACCATTATCACGAACATCAATCCCAAGCTCCAGAGCCATAAGTATCGCTCCAAGCGAACACTAGCGTTCGTGGCGACTGGCATATCCGTTGTGGCGCCCTTGATTCATGGGCTCGATATATTCGGGCTAGACTTGATGAGCAAAAAAGCCTTCACCTGCACTATAGTGGCAAAGATAGGCTGCCTTCTATCTGGAACCTCGCTTTATGCAGTGAGCCTCCCATTTTGCCCAAACAGGAGAAAAAATTGATACTAACACACGTGATTCGAAAGATAAGGTTTCCCGAAAGTTGGTGGCCTGGAAAATTTGACATGTGCAGCTCCCACTCATTCATGCACATCCTAGTGGTCTGCGCCGCTATTATCCAGATGATAGGGTATCTGGAAGCCTTCGACTATGCTTACTCAAATATTACCTGCCCAGCCTCTTGAATTGCTACCTTTTATAGAGCGTCTAACCGTCGGGACAAGCAGCGATCTTCCAGCCTAGGTAGCACTATTGGAGATTCTAGCAGCAAGGTGCGTTTAGGAGCTAGGAATTGTGACATTCATCACGAAAGGGAGAATATTCATATGAAAGCCTTCACTTCACCAAAACGCTCATCTATAGGGTTTGATTCCAGGGTATAAGTTGGGAAGGAGAGAATTTCTACACCTACAGTGGAACATAAATCCCTTAGTTATAATGCCCTATAGAAGCTAGCATTATCCATAACTAGAATAGATTCAGGCTGCGGGAATCTTGCACAATAACGAAGCAGTTATTTAATAAAGTCCTCAAATGTAACATAATCTGTTGAGCCTTAAAAAATACGCGAGAGTATGACTCCTCCTTAAGTATATACTAAAATAAATTAATACCTCTTCTCCCATTTAAACTTTACAGCTTGGACTAATGTGATTCCTAGTGGAGCCCAGCCCTTGCACCATTCAACTATCAAGGTATCACAACCAGACTCATCAATGATATAAGTTGATAGAACTGATATTTTGACAATTTGTAATAATATATGTGTTATAGAGATGGTTTTCTTTGATTCGCAACGCGCCGAGTTGGCTTATTAGGCCACTTAATGGTACGTAAAGCAAGAGGGATACTAAAGCAGGGATAAAGGTCCGAGTCTCGCAAGTCATGCCGCTCAGCGGCCTGGTTAAAAGGAGCTGATTTTTCGCAGCCCAGAGAGAAATTCATGCTTTTCCTTTCATTCAGTCAGAACCTTAATGAGCGACTTTACTGTTCAATTGTGAAGCTTCGCGAAACCTCTGTTCAATTGAGGCCGGCTGTGGCCTCAAGAGGCGCTACGACGAGCGTTTCGAATGCTTCCTTCGTGAGAGATTCTTGTCTTCTCAATCCGTTCAATTGCTCGAGACGAGTAAGGTCTTCGTATGATGAATAATACTGCGGGCGATGAAGCTGTCAACTAACGCGATGACCGCTGTGTGCCACATACCCTTGTGTTGTGTGGTTGTGGGTGTTGTGTGTGTGTACAGCTTCCTCTCTCACCGTTTCAATACTACTAAGTGAAATATCTACTTCAAACTCAAACTAGAGAGTTAACATTATGTTATCGCGATACATACATAGCCTGTTAGTTAAATCATGGCACAATACTTCTAGCATATGCGGTAATGAATCACAGTAGCAGCCAGTTCTATTTGGCAGCGGTTAGGTAGCTCTAAAACGGCGCAGGTTTAAGCATATATTACGGATAGCTGGTTCAATTTATTCGACTTTACTTGCTATTTTTCTGGTTGGTTTTCCATTATATAGTAGAGCTTGAGTCTACTTGTGCTTGGGGTTGCTTAGTTATCGTGTCATTAGTGATCATAAGAAGCAAGTCTCAGTAAGGTTTATCGAGAGCCAAAATTAAGTAACAGGAAGGGACAGAGGAAATTAAGGGTTGGGTTTTGATGAGTACCTAAACTACCAGTGTTTGATTCTGTTGCACAATAGAGCCATTTCTAGATTAGCTTGTGAACATATGGAAGACCGTAGGCACACTATGTCAGCCACGTATGGCTAAAGTGGGGTTTCTAATAATCGAAACATTAAATAAAGAGAAAAAGCGGACACTCCTTTCGGTCGACCCTGTATAAAATTCATACTGTATAACCAAAGTTTCTAATATCTAGGTCTTCCGCCTTAGCCAGGAGTGATTCATGAAGGTACTCAATCGTCGCATAGCTGTTATCCAATAGGATTTCAGCCTGTGAAATCCCATCACTCTTGAAGATCTGGACCATCTGAAAGAATAGTGACCATATAGTTGACTCACGGCCTGCTTTGAACTATCATAATACTGATCAAGACAAGCATGAAACTGATCATCACCATGGTTTTGGGTATCTGATCTTTGATCCCGTAGAGAAGGGGCCCGAAAAGAGTTAGAACACTTACAACTCGTTAGATTGGAGGAAGAACGACCAAAGCGGGCCAACCTCCAGCTTCGAAACGATAATAATCAGCAGGGAAAGTTGCTAGGAAAATCTATGTCGCAAATCCAATCGGCTAAGGAAGAATTGGAACGCCTCAATCAAGACATAGAAAAACTAGAGATAGGAAATATACAGCTGTAAAATAGCTTCCAATAGCAAAAAGAAAAAAACGAACCTAAAAAAACCTCCGAGGATCAATTAGGGCGTCTTAAACAAGACGAAGAAACTCTTAAAAGGTATCTACAACTTCAGAGTGAATATACCGAACCCGAAAACAAATTAGGTAAGATAATTATCGTAAGGGAAGACTACGAACAACGAATTGCACAGGAACATCAAGATCTTGAACAGCAATATAGAATTGACCTTTCAATCTGAAGAAGTCTTATGCAGTGAATAAAAAAAGGCTCCATGGTAGAATTAATCATTTGGGAAAGATTGTGAGTTAGCATAGAGAAAAGCTTAAGGAACTCAAGAGTAAAGAAACTATGAAAGATTAGAATTGAACAAACCTAAAGAACTGAAAAACAGTAAACAGAAGGAGACCAATAGCTTCACAAAGAAAATCAAATAGTTAGTATCTCAATATAAGAACCCACAGTACACTACCGAGATATGAAAGAGCGAACAGATAAGCCAGACGGGAAGTATTATCTTAGACCATGCTTAAGCGACTACTAATATTTTATGGACCCAAGGTAGTTCTAATAGCTCTAATCACAACGAGAACATACAAGTCATCTTTCGGTAACCGTATCAGGTTATATTTAAAGAGTGCCTTGTTAATTTATCAATACCTTAGAGATAAAGGATCTTCAAACGGTTGCTAAAAATTCAGCGTACTCTAGTAATAATCAAGATAATCAAAACTAGTAATTAGTTACATTTAAAACAAAGGTTTGGGTTTACGCTCATGATCTAGTTATTTATCCTTCGAACTTATTATACTTGGGGAGAGTGGCTACGAAATATCTAAGGAAACGAACAGCTATGTTCGACGGTTGTGGCGTGATAACACCTGAAACTTTGTTTTAAAGGGTACCTAGCCAGCCTAATCCCATAATATACCTTGCCCCTGGGTAGGAAATTGCAACCACGCCCGGAGAGAAGATAGCTGGCGCCCCCAGAGACCATGTGGAAAATAAGCAAGAGAGTGTAGGAGCTAGTATGGGTCCAAAAACCAAAAGTACGAAGGCCGCTCTAAGAGGGCACTACGAATCTAATAATTATCCCAAAAAAGCATGCAGAGCTACGAATATCATATAGTGCTATGCTTGGTCCAAGGAACATAGGCCCATACGATAAATCTTTGCCAGCTACAGGGTGTTCCACTATAACCGCCCGCACCAAGAAATAGGTCCGGTTGTCCACTACTTGGCCGCGCTAACCCCACCTCAGTTATTCATTTCTATGCTCGGCCGAAAACTAGGATGTAGTCATCTCAATGAGGTACCAACTGCCTGGTCTATCGGCTTGGCTTTGTTTACATATCAAGTATTCAGGTGTTGATCACGTGTTAAAGACTATTAGCCGCTTTCATAATTATTTTCACTAGTTACTACTTATTACACCAGTTTTGTTAATTCTATGGCTACCCTTTGCATGTATCTAATATAGATATGTATATTGGCAGGAGAATCAGAAGCAAGAGGAGGCTCTCCTGGTAAATCAATAATTAGCTGAGAAGTTATATAGGCTCTAAGATAAAGCTGGCTGACGCATGTTAACTAACGTCTCTAATCTGATCTCTTTAGTAGAAGAGAAAATAAAAGATAGAAAAGTTATTAGCTACATAGATAGCCGGAAAAATACACCGGAGGATGTCAAGTCACGTAATGAGTTAACGAAGACCATATTGAGATTCGAACAAGAGAGTTCGCTAAGGAAATTCTTAGGCAGTAGATTATTTAAAATTAATATAATTATTGCTCTAGGTATAAATATGGACTGGTCCAACCTCTTGGTACACCTTCTTACTGGGAGATATAGTACTATTGTCCTTTGTAATGTACTGCATTAAGGCTTTCTTCTTCTTACTTTATTCTGAGAACTCACCTAAAAATGAACAGATCAGAAGAAAACAAATACTGCATTCAATATCATTGACTCTATAGAATTATAACCGAACTTACGCGTAGCAACATATTCTCAGATTCTGAGACCAATACAGGTGTAACGTAATCCACAAGCGAGTTGCACACTTCTACCTATCCTTCGTATAATAAACTCAATTAGAATAACAACAACTAATTGTCTAAAATAATAATACTAGAAATTGGTTTATCGGATTCCTCTCCAATCTCCCTACAAGTTCGGATATTATGACCAGGCTTTACGCAATTGCTACATCGTGGAGTCTTCGTACGAGCCTGCCCTCCCTGACTACCACTTCTACGGTCTTTCCCTCTTAGCTACTCATCCAGATCTTCTGGTCCAGTGTATCTATTCCATCCTGTATAGTGAAGGATCCTTCGAGTCGTACGCAGCTTTTTTTAAGCTCTTCGGCGCTTGCTTAGTGCCTCATTTGCTGTACGAAGATCCCGGACCCGAGTGTTCGCAAACTTATCGATCAAATTTTAACCAGATCTATATAGCCTTAATAACCAAATTTTTCTCTCGTCAGTCTCTAACTATCCGCACCAAATACCCCTTAGTACGTACACAAACGTAAGGTGAACTTTGATTTGCGTCCTAAAAAACGAAATCTCTTTGGTAATTTGTGCTTCTGGTCGGATAATAGCTTTTCCTTCCCGCGCTGTAACCTAAAACCTGGTTCGTGTCCAAAATTCCAAAATCGGACTCATATTGAGCCGTAGTAAGCAAGCGATATTAATTCGAATATAGTTTCATGCCCCAAATATTAACCTGTCCGTCAGCCCACGTGTAGAGCCTGAGTAACGGCCGATGTTCTAAAACTGATCCAATTTCTGCTATGGTAGTCCACACAGCCAGAAACCAACCGACCTACACGAGGGCCTTTCCCCCAGACCTTTCTGAAACTCTTTTCGTGGGGAAACGGCGGCCCCAAGGCGCTAGACGGACAGGGCAGAAATGTGGGGGACGCCTCGCAGCATACATCCCCAAGGGCGCTTACCCGCCAAGACTTACCATTTACAAAGAGAAACAGATCTAGACAGACATTCAGGAGAGTCCTCAGTAGCTCCCTTTGCTAAAGTATTATTTACAGCACTAGAGCACTGACAAATTAACCTTCTCAATAACCTAGGAGAGAAGAAATATACCCTAGGGTCTTCGTGCCGCTGCTGCTGTTCAGGCAGTTAAACCTTGCAGCCTGTAGAACCGCCATAGTCGGTTCTAGCCGATATTAGATATTAGGTCGAATAGCTCAGCTCTACTAAGCTTCCCCGGCTCTTAACAGATGCGTGTATGGTCAGGTCACCGTGATATTGGGTGCAATTATGGTTTTATCATCACACCTTTTTTCACTATACCATCCACGATTTCGTTTCCTCATGCGCCAATGTGCCTCGCTAGAAATTTAAGAAAGTCTCTTGTGATGAAGCTAAGGGAATGCCGAGTATGTACCTATAGAATCAAGTAAAAGTGGCGCGTGAGGGCAACAGGGTAATTGGAAGGTTTGGCTCTACACGGTACGTACTATTCTATCCGTTTCCGTGGATCATAGCCATCATACTTCCTCGCTAACTGTAATCCATTGGGATCAAAAAGTCTACTCATTCAAGGGCTCGACGGAATATGAAATAAATCGAAAATAATACTCAACATAAGATCGGACTAAAAGTACCCATCATGTTCCCAGTCAATCTGTGCTTTCAACTTTGTCTTCTCTTGTTTTATTATCACCTCTTCCATGCTCTGTCCCATTATCGTCTCTTCCATGCTCTGTTCTGGTTCTCTCCTCAATCACGCGCAACGCAGCGCTCATAGAATAATAAGGACCAAATACCTCCGTCCAGATGCGAACGCACTGTTCCCATCCCGGCTCCCCTAAGTCTCTTAAAATGATCGCATATGCCTTATTCAAGAGCTCGTCCGAAACTTCTTCAATCCCCACATATAATATTTTCCAGAAGCCCTCGACTTTCATTCCTTCCGCCCCCACAATAACACGACGAGGCCGAAAAGCATATTTTCCCCCATACCATAGACGAGAGTTATTTCTGAAATTATCCCATTCATCATCAATACACAGAGCCTGCAACCTTTTCGCAAACATTTCCAGCAGCTGGTTCATAATCACTTCTGTGGGACGCCAGGTTGTCAAAATCTTCGGCACCCTATCTACCATTTTGGCGCGGCAGAACTCGAATACATCGTACTCGAGCTCAATATCCTGAACCCATGTCTGGTATTTCAAAGACCGAGGAAATAGGATAAAGTAAGGCATAGGCTTGGATAATCTGCAACGGATTTATTTGACTTCTTCTGTATATATCACGTGAAGACAGCCGTAGGCTCTGGGCGTTTCCCAGTCTGTACCGGGAAATTTCCTGGGTCTAAGGCGGGTTGGAAGAATGCTTGATGCCTCAGCACTTATATTGCCTCTGGTCAACGTCATGGCTTGTTCTTGACGTAAAGATAATGCAAGATTAGAGAGACGTGGCTTGAACCAAAAATATGGTCAGTAAGTGTATATAGATATTAAAGCAGCCTCAATGGAGACAATGACGGATGTAGAGGAGTTGGCAAATGTAGAAAAAAGGTTGAAGTTGGAGCGTTTTAGTTCAGGGGGAATCGTCTCCTTTTATACTTTTCATTGTCGTAAGTTCGGCTACGGCGGCCAACAGGCAACGACCATGAGCCATTTATGGAACAGCCATCTTGTACTTTGATAGGTCATGGAATCCTCATCTTGCATTCATAGTCCCCTGTAAATCCGTAACGAAAGTTTTGGCCCAACTGCTTCTTATAAGCCATTGGCCCTAAGGCCGCCAGCCGCGACTGCAAGGATCAAGTTTCTCTCACGATGGGTAGTATCAAAGAAGAATCGAGCCATTATTACCTTCTTTAATCATAGTCAGAGTCCCTCCCTATAACCCAAAACTCCTCGGCATGAGGGTCCGAGCTAGCCTCTACACTGGTTACATCCCCGAAGCTTCCCCATTCGCGCCGAGACCTCCATCTCTTAAGAAGAAGATTGCTGCGCTGGCGCGGGACACAACATGGTGCCGTATCTCGAGCTACGGAAGCGCGATTGAGGCGGCCCTTTCGTGCTATTGGCAGATAAAACGGTTCTTACCGAATACCATGGATGGGGATTGTTGCCGTACCTTAGAGACTGTCATTCTTATCTTTGCTAATATTCTGCCTAGATACGGTGCTTCCGGCTCCGATCCTCAGTCAGCCGGCGACCTAAGTAACCTAATTACACTTCACCATGATAGACACCATCTCTCACATACCTGTCGCTTCACATTTGTCCCGAAACGAGATGTAGCCAACAAGGCTCGGTGTCTGACACTCTAGGTCTTTATCCGGACGACAATAATGAACTCGTCCCTCTCTACCACAACCGTTCTGCTGCGCCCCTCTGAGGCATTTCTTTCGAGCATGTCCCTGCGCGGTTTGCTTGGACTATCTTCTCCGACCAGACCGGACGCTTTTTCAAGGGGGCTGAGTATGCGGTTCTCTCATTTGATCCCAAGATAGACGATAATAAAGAAGTCAAGCTAAGGGCGCTGAGGTGCGGATTGTCTGTTCAAGACGATGAATTCTGTGTAGTACAGGGGGAAAACGATGCTTTCATTCCTCCGACTAGGAACTACCCCGCGGGAAGATAGCGGAAGCGCCGCTGGGATTACCTTGCGGTGAACACTCCGCCCTATCTCCCTCAGCAAGGATCAATTCACATAGCGAAAAAAAGGATCTGATTACCATTGTGATTTTGAGCAAGCCGTTCTAGGAAAAGGAATGTATTATGGTGCAACATCATTATGTGGCGGTATATTGAAAGACGGGCTTGGGATGCGTTGTGTTGTTGTGAATGATTTGTTGGCAGTGAGGCGGTGGAGTGGGTCAAAATGGCACTCAGACAGTGTTTTTTCATAAAGCCACATTGATTCTCTCGGCTGTTTGGTTCTGCCTTCGGAGGAAGAAATCAAGTCCTGAACCCGAAACCCACGTGATTCAAGAAAACGAGCGTAAACTTGAACCTGCGCATGAAAATGACACTGACTCGGAAAAGCTCTCAACAACCTCTTTAACGAACGCTACAATCATCACTCCTCCAAGTCGATCGGGACTTTCTCGTATCATGAGCAAGGTGGTTCCCGCGCGAGTAAGTAGTTAACCGAAGATCAAAGTATCGACAAGACGGTACCGATTGAGGCCCCCGACAGTGAGATTTTCGAGCTAGCCGCTTGTCGACCTCCTGCCGAGCTTGACGCCGACACCGGAGGTTCCGACGATTTCTAAATCGTCGATCAGGAGGTTGGATTTGGTTTGGATGAGACTTATCCCCTCAGCCCGTATGAGCAGACGAGGCTTAAGATGGACCGCCAACTGGCAGAACCTGTTCCTGCGGATACACCAGAAGATTGAGCTCAAATTGCACTCGAATTGCTACCAAAGATGGCTACGAAGCAAGGTAAGCCTGCAGCTGAGCTCTCTGGGGTATCATGAAAATTCGTTAGAGAACTCAAGGGAGGCAAACGCGGCTGGGATGTGTGAGAGAAAAAGAGACAAGTAGTTGGATAATGGAAGGGAAAAGACCACGCGAAGACAAACTGGTATTTGTATTCGCTCTTGAAAATACATTCCTGGATGTATAGCTCACTACATCGGGCCAGAGGATTTGGATGAGTTGCCATGGCCCCCCGCTTTTCAACTTCTCCGTATCGTCAGAGGACGTGTACCTTGAACACGGACGCATCCTCACGGCCCGGTGCCGCGCCGACGGATCGCTGCGGGACAGCTCCCTCAACCTGAACGACGCCCTGGAGAATGACAACGGCCGGTTCCGCTAGGTCAGCGGCGGCGGCAGCTGGACTGTCCGGCCCGACGACACCCTGGGCAGCATTGCGTCCAACTACAGCGTGTCGTGGGAGGAGATTGCCCGCCACAATGGCCTGAGCAACCCTGACCTCATCCACCCTGGCCAGACGATCCAGATCCCTGGGGGTGGTGGCCACCACAGCCGCCGTTGGGAAAATGTCGCTTCTGCGTCCAGAATTTGGAGAGGATGTCAGCGCGGCAAAGACGTATCTCAAAACCGCTACTCAACTTCTGCGCGATTGCGAGGAACTTCTTATACTTTTCTGCGTTGAGGGAAAATCCTTCCGAAGGTCAAGATCAATGCCGATACTCTCCCATCCTGGGTGCACGACTGGAGTAAGCCTTCACCCCTCGGTCTTAGGGTCACCGAGTACAAGAGATATTCTGCAGACGCGTGCTTCATTCCGCCTGGTACTCATCATCTTGAGGGGAGAAATTAGCTAGATGACCTGCAGTTGTCGACGAAAAAAACCCTCACCGTTGCCATTGGTGGCCTCAGGGTCGACGAAATATCATTTCGCGGGGAGCCAAATCGCGACATCCAAAGGGGGGGAGCCGTTTCCCCGACTGTTGAGCATGCTGCTGTCCCTCCCGACTCGGTACCAGACCATGGAAGAAGACCGATGGGAGGCTTTTTGGCGAACTCCCATCGCCAACACTGCTGGTAAGGAACGTCTCGCGCCTTCAACAGTCTTTTCTCGGCCCGGGCTTTACAAAATGGTTCCGAGAGAAAGTTCCCGCCGGAATTAGTTTAGTCATTTCTTTCAACTGATTTAGGTCGGAGTGAGAGCCAAGACGCCGTTGTGAGAGGGTAAAGGTTCAGGCGGCGCCTCAAGATCTCCCAATTCTGCGGCAACTCAACGTTACGCAGTTCCTGGGAAGATTACTCATGATGATATGGCGGACCGGCCGTGCGAGCGAATCGACACAGAGTCTACTAAGGGATGAGCGTGTGTTGTATTAACCTAGAAACTTTTTTGAGTATTTAAAACTAGTACCTCAGCTCTCCATTCGTTGCTTGCGCGGTCGGCCCCGACGGCAAGCCGTCATGTCCTTGCTATGCTTACTTGACTTGCGACTCATAGCAGTCCTCTTTGCAGCCCTGACTTCCTCCACTGACTTATCACTCGGGGCCCCAAACTGAGCCTCAAACCTGTTGATCAGATCCAGGGCATTTTGCATCCTGTTGGCTGGTACAAGAGTTGGTTTCCAAGGAACCAAGTAGTACACCTCGCCATCAATGACTTCTTTACCCATCAGGTCGCCGTCAATCTCCCATTCTGCGTCCACGTCGGTGGCTGTAGCAGTGGGTTGGCTCTGTTCCATTGAACTAGAGACCATTGTATTTGACTCCCCAATGCAATCATGGACGTCTTCATCTGCGTCTACCATGACTTCGTAAGTAGCAGGCTTATGCTCTGATGCTTCGAAGTCATACTCTCCGTGGTCTGAGAATGGCTTAGTGATGTCATCTCTTAGCCGCATGTTCTCGCTATTTATAGTTTGGTCTATGTCCAATCAGTAGGCCGAACTCATAAGCGGGAGGCTTTACCTACTGGGCTCATCTTGGTAAGTGTTATCGTTCCCGTGATGGTTCGAGTCCGGCGGATGAGGTTCTCGTAACGCATAAACCTCGGCATACTGAGTCTGTGCATTCACGAAAGACTCCCGTCCGGGGCCGGATTGCTTAGTATTTATATCACCCAAAGCCCAGGGTAGAGCATCATGACACGTAGTACTGCCGGTAGATTGGCCTGCATCTCTTGGGTGGTTTAATGAATCACCATTGGTCAATACTTCTTTCGGGAGTTGAAGCGCCTTCAGGCTATTATCGGGTGCGTTCAGCTGACTGAGTTGTCGGTTGATGGTATGGTGGTTCATTGCATCTTGGGCGGTGGTATTCCGTGGACGCGGAGGTGCAGCTATCAACGAGGCGTTAGACAAACCTCTTGAAGTACTTAGTCTAGACAGAGACAGTGTCCGGGTGTCTGAAACGAGTCCCTGACCATTGCTCCAATCGGGGTGTTCGGAGTCGTTCGTGCCTGGTCCGTCATCCAGTTGCGAGAAGACACTTCGCCTGTAGAAAGTATTTGAGGCACCGAGTCCATCTCGAAATCCAGGTTCAATCTCTTCTATGGGAAATTAGTAGAGAATGTAGCAATAGACATGCAACCATACCTTGAATATTCTCAATTCCTATAGCGTTCCTCAATGGGACACTATGCTGTTCTGACGGCAGCACGGCGTCATTTCCAGTAAGGTTGGTTAACTCAACAATAGTAGCTAAGTGTTGTTGTAATGACATTAGGTCATTGGAACTATTGCAGTGTGTTATACTCGCTTCGGGGTTGGGTCTCGTCATAGGCATCTCTCGCACCATACCAGGATCGCTACTCGCCGATCTGCGGTCGCATGGCCTAGACAGGTCAGAACTCACCAGTCGAACGGTATTTTGAGGGTCGCTTGTGGACTTTGGTAGCTGTTGCTGTTGCTCATGCTGGCTTTGTATTGAATTATTGAGTGATGGTTTTTCTTGGTTCACGGTATTTTCGTCTCTCTTTTCCGCTCTTCGAGCTTTCCTAAGCTGCTGGTTGATTTTGAAGAATAAAATCCTCATAATGTGAAAGATCCTACAATAATATGAGCAAAACTCTAGGTTCATGTTTTCCTGAGAAATTCTTACAAGTCAGAGTCTTTGGAATATCGCAGCCTAGTTCGGCTATTGTCAAGTGTGTCAGGCCAGAAGTGGCTACCCTGGTCCAGAGTATTAAGAAAGTTGTGCGTTACATCAACCAGGCCATTTTGATGAAGGCTAGAGCTCCAATGAAGTAGCTCTCGACAAGGAATACCATTGCTAGTTTTGAAGGTTTGAGCATGCCTCTTCACGGATCTGTAGAAGTGGCGATCTTGAGGCTCTCCCGGATTCCCATAACCAAGAGCGTGGCGAAGAGAGGTAATGGTGGGTAATTCTTTCCTTGTACTCTTTAAGTAGTCAAATCTTCTAAAATCGAAAACTTGTGCCATAATGACGTATAGATTAATACTAGCCAATAGTTAGCCGTCTCTCATAGAGTACCCTCCATATGTAACATGTCCAAGGAGAGGTTGATCCCAGAACTTGGCATGTGCTTAATATACTCTCGTAGTTAGGGCACATCACCGGATTTGATTCTGATGTATATGCCGATAAAGTATGTATGTATATTCCGCTAAGTACCTTATGGGGAAATATGTTGCTTTAATATAGGGCCTAATTTAAGGACCTGAGACCTGAAACTTGGCCTACATTAACATTCACTAGGGAGTTCGCTGAAACTTTCCCGATTTAGCGAAACTCCCAACCCAACCCCAACCCCCCCACCTCAAAGGCGCAAAATCCCCTTCTTCTACGGAGTAGATTACTTTTTATTCCCTTACAGCGAGCCTATGACCGCTTAGTCTTGTAGCCTCTGTACCATAAAAGGCGAAATTTGTGTCGCTAAATATTAGATAACTTTTTTTATCTAATACTATAGCGTGGAGCATAACCAGCTTCCGCTCTGTTGTCTTTCTAGTTATTTTTACGGGGAGGGAGTACCTGAAAATACCTTAGTGTACATGCCTAGATATTTTACAGTATGGGAAATGTCCGTTAATGGCCGGGAAATGAGTTCCCCAAAGACTAAGTACTAAGGTGGGGACAATTGTGTCTAGAGTGTTGGCGCCCAAGACCGGGCTGCTCGCATGAGAATACGATCGAGGGATTCTCAGGGATACAAGGGGCCGCGGATACCCTCTGTAATTACTAGTTAGATGTAACAGTCTCAATTTATCCCTTTTACCTGTAAAACTGGAAGCTGTTAGGTGGCGACACCAACAGTACCATGTATGATCCCCAAAATGTATTCGATTGTGGAAAGAGCCCTACCTAATCTTAAACAGACCTCGTTTTCTTGGCTTTAGGCCCTCCGTGGTGACCTTCTCTTTTCCTTTTTTTGTGGTGTATGTAGCTAGGGGCACTCGATTTTCTTTCCTGAGCTTTTCCACCTGCGCGGTTGTTTTTTTGATAGCTTTGGTGATTGGAATACCTACACTTCTTGGGTTTGCATTCTTCTTTCTGTGGGCCAGGGCGACCGAATACTGCCGTCAGTCCTTGTAAGGCAATGAGTCTAGGTAGACTAAAAGGAGCTCCGCTAATAGAACAGGCCTCCAACCCGCCCCGCTTCAAGGCGATGTCAAACACCCCATCAGTGGTCAGGGCTACCTTTTTGCGGAAATTCCCATAGCGATCAAAACTGTTCTTCTCCACAACGTCCGTCATTGGGCATCTGTTGATCCAAAATTGGGCTGATGTAGAATCTAAACCCCGAAAAAGCTCAGGAAAAGCTGGTTCAGAGATAGCAATATCACACAATATACATCCGGACACAAAATATCTCCCATCAATCTTCTCAGGGACAGCGTCAAGCTCGAAGTAAAATAAGGAGGCAATCAGGCGTTCGGCGATATTTTCTATCTTCGATACAAGCGTTTGATCCTGATCAACATGAGACTGAAGCGTCTGGATACTGTTTACATCGTCCAATCTCGGGATGTCATGATCAAACTTTGTGGTGAGGCGATAATACCGAGGGTTAGCCTGAATTACCTTCCTCGGCTGTTCGTCTAACATCTTCATGAAATTCATCTGGGCTAACCGGTATAACCAAGGAGTTAACCAAGAACACCAGGAGGTTCCAGTTGCCCTTTCTGAAACATCGTTCTTCTGCCTAGATTCCCCAGTACCAAGAGATAGAATGAAGTCGGGATGTTCTAGAGATGGGTTCGCTTCAAAAGCGTAGGATACCGCTGATGCAAGGGGGTCATTTTCTAGAGGGCCGGCATCCTGGAAGGTGCCCACGTCACCTATGGCTTTTGGGGGGAAGTAACTTGGGATTAAGAAGGTCAGAAACAATACAAAACCATAGAGTGGAATGAATTTCATACCCAACTGCAGCGCAGCCTGCCGCCAACCTGGAAGTGTTAGCCCTAACATTTATGCGTAAGTGATGTATACTTACACCTCGGAGATTTTTGCAGTCCCAAATCCTTTCTTGAACCGATCTAGTTTTTTTTTTAAGAAAAAAATTGTTAGCTACTCGCGGAAGTGAGAGGCGTTTTTCTTGCGTATTCCTACCGTGACTTATGCGACCGTTACGGTTGGTGAAGATATGGCACGAAGGCGAGCCACCTGTTGTTGCGACAGGTAGGCCAACCAGCGTGCCAAATGGTGTGGCCTGGGACTTATCCAACAGGGTTCTAGTTCCGAATACCTGCTTGAGGACTGATTCAATAGGAGATGATGAGTAGAGGCCACCAGATATACATGAAACAAATACTTTCAGAATATCAGACAACCAGGTGTGTGACAAGCAGTCAGGGAGCAATCGAGAAACTATTTTCAGTAGTTTTTTCTTTTGAAATATAGATTTAGCCAAGAGTTCGAAGGCTTGGCTTGTTTCATCAATTGAAGATCCGTTGAGAAACAAATCTGCCGCGATTAGCCCCCCTAAAAGGTTCAGCAGTGAGTCATGGAGCAAGTAAAAGTATGAACGAGAACCTACCAGAACTGATCCCAAATACCATGTTAAAAAATCGTTGGAATGGAATCTGCACCCCTATCCTCTCATGGATAGACTTCATGATCCTTAGTGGTATGATTCCTCTTACCCCACCACCATCTATACAAAGTATGCCTACGCCGCGGGTCGGTGGGCTTATCCTTATCCTTAACTTATCAGATAGTTCGATACCACACAAGAAACAATGTTCGATCAAAAAGTCCCTCTTATCCGTTGTAACTCTCTCACCGAGGGCACCGACACATTGATCACAGAAACCATGTCTACATGGGAGGAGATGCTGAGGCCGGCGTCGAAGGCATGAAAAGCAAGTATCTGCACTACGAACCTCGCTCCATGATGGCTCCTTGCAGCGAATATTTTCATAATGTATCTCTGCTGGTGAGATTGAGCCCTGCTTTAACTGGACATAATACTCCTCCAGTTTGGTTTCGATAACCTCTAAGAACTCTTCTTGCATGTGTGTAGGGACCACGTGCTTGTCTCGAAGTGCCATAATCACGTGTTCGTAGTAAATTGTGCGGAAGACTTGACGAGGTGGAAATACTGGGATTAGCCGTTAGTCTCACTGTTCAGACTTGGGATGTACAGCCTCTTACAGTGTGTGTCTGGTAAGTAGTGATCTAGGAAAAACGATGACGCAATCACAGGGGCAGCAAAGTTTAGTAATGCCCCAGGCTGTGTCTGCTGTAAGAAATCGGTAAGATGATTTACTAAATTTCCGGAGAGAGGATTATCATCTCTGGTGGCTTTGATGAAGTTGAATGGCTCGTCTGTGCATGAGAAGTGTGCACAAGCATAGTCTAAAAAGGAGAGGAAGTGACTTAATGAAAACAGCGACGAGGCATATTCACGGTGTATTCGCATTTCTAATAGCCTTGCCATGAGTCGGTCCTTCAGTGACCTATAACGTGCTCCATCAGAAATTCTAGTTGATGGAAACAGCTCAACTACTTCGATTGTGGAGAAAGATTCGAAAATATCCTTTGAGGTTTTTTCACGAATCAAGCCCAAAAGAGCGCCTAGGGTCTCATTTTCGCTATGAGTACTAGGGGACGGCGACTCTAAAACAATGGCCGCATGGGGCCTGAGTAAAGCCGGTGGAGGCTTGTCATATGCGAAGTTGATCCACGCGACAAGCGAGTGTGCAACGTTTTCGACACCACCCATATCATCGGCAAAGAAGCAGAAGACGTCGGTGAACGGACCTAAGATTTGGGAGAAGATGCCGCTCCTGGCTTGGACTGAATCTTTTACCAGGGACCTCTTAATAGTATGCCTAGTCGAATCGTGGCACGGACTCAATGAATTATTGTTGTTAACTCTACTCGAAATATCACCATCCGCAAGCAGTAAGGGTATCCCGAAAATACTCGATGGGTCTACATTTAAATGTATATCCGTAGACCCTTCACGCCCAAGGCGGAACTGACGACCCCTGCTTACTCCAAACAGTTTGCGCAATGCAGCTGTCTTTTCCTTATTACCAAGAAGAACGATTAAGCTTGGCTGTTGGTGATTGGGATCAGGAATAAAACTTGTGATACGGCGTCCTCTGTCTGATACTATTAGCTCCAACTGCTTTCCGCGGCTGCAGATATCCAACCAAGTGGTATGTTTGCATCGTTTCATGACTACTCGTAGCTGGTAAAATTCTACTTGCGCCCACAGACAACACGGGCGTTTTATTCCACATTGTGGACGGGTTTATGGTCGGAGCTGTTTTATGGAAATCAAGAGCAAGAGCACCTGCCTCAACTGGGACCATTAAGAGACCCTTCAATTTGGTCCAAAAGCTTGGCCCGACACGTCATCATCCATCAATAGTCGCATGAACACAGTACAAACCTAATTCGTCTACACAGTGTGTCGTGAACAGACATGCAACATCACAAGGTCTATTGTACATGGAGGAAATAAATCCCACGGTTCAATGATTGGCCACGGGCAATTATAGAGACATCCATTTACTTTGATATTACTAAGACTCTGGGTCTAATGCTTTCAAACTCAAACACTAAGTATCGAGGCCCAAATGCTCTAACGTGCACTGGTTGTCCGTGATGATAGATAACATGAAGGCGCGTTTCTATATCTTATGAGACACGGTTTTGGAAATCACTGATACACTCTTCAAGCTGCTGGGATACCACCTGGACTGCTCTAAACAAGTCCATTCCAGCGTGGTTGTATTCACGCCATCTCTGTTCCTCCTTCTTCAACCGACTAGAGTCCTTTCCCTTTCTTTCAAGATCGTCGAAACTCACAGTCGCTAATGGGGGAGGCACCATTGATTGTGGCGGTGTAGCTTCACTATAGATGGAACTAGCGGGTACTTGATTCTTTCGAACCATAGCTGCTTCTTCTGGATAATAAGTGGGAGACATGGCCCTAAGCCCCTAAATATGTCGGCCACATAAGAACTTATAGTCGCAATATGAACACTAATTTATGTCTGCTTCGCCTGAATCTGGGACCTGATGCCATATTTTCGGCTCGAGCTATCATATAAATCATGCTTTACTACGATGCACTGAACTATACACTTGCTGTTATGGAACCATGCAGTTCACAAGAGTCATAACCGCGGCGCTGTTAGCTTATTATCCTTTTGCGAAAGCAGATGTATCGTCAATTGCATCTGTCAGCCTGTCAAGCGGCGGATGTGAGCGGCTCGTGACGTCACAGTCAATTTCAACCATCCCCAGTGCACAGAAAAGCTCCACGATGAATATAGAACGAAGCTCTGCATCGTACAGTCCCCGGCCTAGCTCATCTACTAACCAGTCACCAGCTTCTGACCTCTCAAACAGCCTTGTGTCGGCATCTATTCACAGGACCAGTTCAACGGCATCTTCTCTAGGATCATCGTCCCAGGCCGATCAGACTTTATCATTGCCTACGACCAGCTACAATTCGATTTCGGAGAGCGCTTCATTTTCTACATCTTCTGCCAGCCCAAACGTAACGTTGGCTTGGCTGGACCTTACACAGCGCCTTAGGCTCGCTAAGTCGTACGTATAGTTCAGCTATAGTTTAGACACTCTTAGACTCATTATACCTAGTGCATCTGATCGCTATAAGCTCTTACCGAATGATGAGCAATTCAAATTTAACTTCAAAAGCAACCAAAGCATATTAGGTCAGAGCTCGATTGTTGTCGTGAACGAAGATACCTTCCCCGCTCTTGTTAGTGTCGGATCTTCCATCGCCGTTGGTCACGTAGCACGTAAGTTATTCTAAAGTACCTCGTGTAGAATACTTCTGACTTTGGTAGCGTGCGGACTGATTGCAGCGCATCACCACCAATCAACCCCTGAGATACAGCTCGTATTGGAAGGCCACCTAGTTACGGAGATGATACTGGAGGACGATTCCCTTGACACTGCTAACCGACGGATTGTCCATAACGATATAGGACCTAATGAACTAACGATTTTCTATCAAGACGCTACGCATTATCAGTTCAATCCCGATTGCACAAATACTACATTCATCTCCCTATTTTCGCAGGAAGATGGTGCCACAGAATCTATATCAAACGCACTATCTGACTCGGTAGTCGGTAGTACTATCTACCGCGGCATTCCTTCTTCCATGTCGCAATCGGTGAACGAGTGTGTTCAGAAGTGTAGAGATTAAAGCTATAAGGACATTGAAATGACAAAGGATAATGACTGTCATTCTGATTCAAAATCATGCATTTATTTAAGCTTAAAATAGGTAGACATCCCATGAAGTTATAAATAGTACTCTTCAAAGGATTTCGTTGAGCATTGCATACGTTTCACTATATATTTGCTGACTTGTTCCAGTTTCTGGCGATTCTAAATGCGTTAGTATGTAAAGCTGGTATACGTAAAGATGCGAATGTTTTTACAGTTGTGCAAAGGGCATCATCGACCCGTGATAAAAATTTGGCCGAAGACATGATATGAAGCTCTTTGAAGTCGAAAAGGGCTAGCAGATGAGGTACCCCTCCCGCGCGTGCATTTTCGAAGCGATGATTGGAACATTTCTCCTCTAGGCCGTGGTAGACCTCTAGAATGTCCATATCAAGATCCAAAACATACAGCCACATGTCTCTAGTCACATGGATGTCTTCTACCCTCACTGGGGCTTTATTGACCTTCGTAGCCCGGGACAGAACCTCCAAAATACCAGCACCAATATCACCAAAAAGAGAAGCGTGGATGGTTTGGGGAAGCTGATCCAACGACTTTCCGTCTCGCCCTTCGACAATGTTTTGCCAGACGACTTTCCCCTCTGGCCACCATTTGGCAAAGTGGAACCATTCGTCATCATAATGCTCCTGGGTTGTAATGTAGCTGTTCTGTAGCCCCTTCCTAAGCCGCTTGACATTGTCTTCCGTGCCCAGAAAGTTTTTGATTGTAATACCCTGTCCTTTGGGGCAACTATAATATCTACCATACTCGCCAAAGACGCATGTATGATCGTGAATTAACCCTATATAATGCTTGGAATCCATCCAAGTAAATCAAGAATAATGAGAAACCTTCAGCGAAAAATTAAAAATCACAGTCATGGCATCGGAGTAATAAATATATGGCTTTAGTTTAAGCACTAGGTATATATGCTGATGTAAGTAGACAGGGGCTCTCATACTATAACAGGTGTCTATTCGCGACGCTGAGCTTTTCTAATTTGAAAGACTTTTCTTCTTATCGGCTCGGCCACTTGGTTGCAGCTGGTTCCGGGTATACTACAAGCCGTAGCATATTTAAAAGGCCTATCTCCATAAATTGTTTCATCATTTAGCATTCTCCACGCGTGATTGTAAAGTAGTAGCCCACGCCTTTTATCATTTCGCAATATGTTTCAGCTTCGGTTTTGAATCTGTTCATAACGCTTGCGTTTCTGATGTAGGAAAACTTAGAAACGGACATGCCAATAACTTAAACCGTAGCGCACACCGATTTAGCCTCGTTCCTCATTGAAATTTCCCCTTGTTCTGTCTTGAATCTCTAATTTACGCTCTGGGTCCTTCCTCTAGAGATTGGTCAGGCGAGCTCGGTTGGGTGGGCTCTTCGCTTTCATTATCGGTTTCTGTTCCAGGGGACGCCAATGATACCTCTTGTCACAAGAACCGAAATCCGCCAAGACTTGATTAAACTGAGGCTCAATCAAAGAGTCATGGGACTGATTTAGCAGATGCAAATCACCCAGATCTAGCAGATAGAGCTGGCCAATTGATGAGTCGTCATATGCATACGAGATCCGATGAATTGATCCATTATCCAATTGTCGACAGCCCAAGAGGAAGGCGTCCAAGTCAAAATTCATAATGGCTATGATTAATTTACGTAGGACCCATTTGTCAAGCCGTCGCCTTTTGAAGGGCCATGTATTCAGGCCATATTTAAGTTCACTGGTCCGCAAATTAGACTCCTCTTGCAAATCGCGGCGAATAAATACGAGATGTATATATAGTACATACTGTCTCTTTCGTTATACACATACAGCTTCTACCAGTTG